TGGATGGGCAACTCTGCAGGGCTCCTTCTCTAAGCATCCCTTTGCCTGTCTGCCTGTGCTAGGGGCTGTCAAGGGCATTTGGGTCAGAGTGGGCACCCCTTTCTCCAAGGCTCCCTGCAACAGCTTATCTGTCCGTGGTGGAGCTGACAGTTTCCTTCTCTTTCTGCCAGGCTGCCCAAGCACCAGAGGTGACCTATGAGGCAGAAGAGGGCTCCTTGTGGACGTTGCTACTCACTAGCTTGGGTGGGTGTCTGGGGCTCTCCAGGCCTCCTACCCCGCCTTACCTCCCATGAGCCAGGACCCTTCGGGACTGGGGAAAGTGCCAGGTGGAGATCCCCAGCACTGGCTCCTAACAAGGGGCATGGCAGCTGGGCCGTGGGCAGCTGGGCCATGGTCAGCAGATGTGTTTCTGTGCAGATGGGCACCTGCTGGAGCCGGATGCTGAGTACCTCCACTGGCTGCTGTGAGTACCAGGGATGGGGAGACGGGAGGGTCAGACCCGGGAGCTGGAACAAGCTGCACCTGAGTTTCACGGACTACCCATGGGACTTTGAATTCACCCCCACCTCTGCCTCCTGAGGGGGTTAGGGGCCCTGGGATCCAGGTGTGTACTTGAAGACAGCTACAGGAGACTAAAGCTTACAGTAGGCCTCGGTCAGCCAGAACAAGCCTCATCTATTTTTTTTTTCCCTCTTCCCCGCCCCCTCTTTTTTTGAGTCAGGGTCTGTCTCTGTCACCTAGGCTGGAGTACAGTGGTGCAGTCACGGCTAATTGCAGCCTCTAATTCTTAGGCTCAAGTGACCCCCCCCCCCCCCACCTCAGGCTCCTGAGTAGCTGAGACTACAGGTACAAGCCACCACACCCAGCTAATTTTTGTGTTTATTTATTTTTTATACAAAGAGCTCTTGGCATGGAATTTTTGTTTTTTGTTTTTGAGATGGAGTTCCGCTCTTGTTACCCAGTCTGGAGTGCAATGGCGCGATCTCGGCTCACCACAACTTCCATCTCCTGGGTTCAAGCAATTCTCCTGCCTCAGCCTCCCGAGTAGCTGGGACTACAGGCGTGCGCCACCATGCCTAGCCAATTTTTGTATTTTTAGTAGAGACGGGGTTTCACCTTGTTGACCAGGATGGTCTCGATCTCTTGACCTCATGATCCACCCACCTCGGCCTCTCAAAGTGCTGGAATTATAGGTGTGAGCCATCGCGCCCAGCCAGAATTTTTGTATTTTTTATAGAGACAGGGTTTCACCACATTGCCCAGGCTAGTTTCCTGAGCTCAAGCGATCTGCCTGCCTCAGCCTCCCAAAGTGCTAGGATTACAGGTCCGAGCCACCATGCCTGGCCCCTTTGTTGCTCTAAACTCATTTCTTCGTCTGTAAAACTGGGATAATGTCACCACCTGACTTACTCAACCTGAGGTGGACTGTGACAGTCATGTGGGGGAAGGAGTGGGAGAGGCCCGGCAGCTGTAGTGTCCTCCAAGTGCCCCTTGAACCACTGGGCACTCCTTCCCTGAGACCAGGCTTCTTCCCACAGGGCCCAGGCTGGGCTGCCTTCTACCTTCTTGGTAGCTTTTGGCTCTGAACAACAGGGTAGGGGGCAGAGGTCAGGCCCGTGACCCCAGCCTTGAACCTTCTGGTTAATTGGGGACAGTGACTAGGAAGCTGGCTTCTGTCATTTTTATTCAACTGCAGTTAACAACCTGTGTGGCAACAACCCTCTGGGGAGTTGTCCTGAGGCAGTGGCCGCCCCTGTGACAGGCTGGGCACACACTCCCTGACGAGGTCCCGGAGACTTCAGGATGCAGAGGGAAAAGCAGCCAACTAGCCTCAGTGATTCTGGCTGACCTCCTGGCTCCCGGGGGCTGGAAGCAGGCTTCGTGGCCTCGCTGTCAAGTTGATGTTCTCTGGAGCCCTGTTTGCAGTATGTTCACAGAGCCTGGCTCCCTCCTCCATCCTAGGAGAGAGATAGCTTAGGACTATCCTCCCAGGGAGTCATGTCAGCCTCTAGGGTGTGTGTGGAGCTGGGCGGGGGACACTCCTGCCACCTCCCTGGATTGGTTATTAATGGGGACTTTCCTCCTCCCAGAACCAACATCCCGGGAAACCGGGTGGCTGACGGACAGGAAACGTGTCCTTACCTCCCCCCCTTCCCTGCCCGAGGCTCCGGCATCCACCGTCTTGTCTTCCTGCTCTTCAAACAGGACCAGCTGATTGACTTCTCCGAGGACATGCGCCCCTCACCCTGGTAATCTACACCTCCGGCACATAACCTGGCCTCAGGCCAGCTGCCCTGGAATAGTCACTGTTGCTCAGTTCTCCCTCAACCTTGGCCTTGAGGCTGGCAGAAGAGTAGAAGAGCCAGTAGACCCACAGGGGTGTCTTGGGTGGAGGGGTGTGGGGCTCTGGTGCCCAGCTCCCCACTCTCACATGTTCTCCATCTTCTCGTAGCTACCAGCTGGCCCAGCGGACCTTCCGCACCTTTGATTTCTATAAGAAACACCAAGAAGCCATGACTCCAGCCAGCCTGTCCTTCTTCCAGTGCCGCTGGGATGACTCTGTCACCCACATCTTCCACCAGCTTCTGGGTAAGGGCCATGAGGCTGAGGCATGGGGTGGGCCTGAGCTCCCAGGCCTCACCTGCCCTGCCCGGGAGAAGCTTTGTTAGGAGAGGGCCTCGGCAGTCCCCTGATGGGCAGCCCTCAGCCTGAGGGGGTGCAGGCTAGCAGGAGACCACCACTGTTCCCCTCACTCTTTTTGCAGACATGCGGGAGCCAGTGTTTGAGTTCGTTCGGCCGCCCCCTTACCACCCCAAGCAGAAGCGCTTCCCTCACCGGCAGCCCCTGCGCTACCTGGACCGGTACAGGGACAGTCATGAGCCCACCTATGGCATCTACTAAGGAGCCAGAGTGCACCCATCTCAGAGCATGGGATTGATCAGCAGAACAGTAAAGACACAGCTCCAGAGGCCCAGGCTTTGGGGTCTGGGCCCTGCCTGAGGCAGCCCCTCCGTGGCTCCCTTCCATCAGGCCCAGGGCTTGGAGTGAAAGGGACTCTCAGGTGATGGTGTGGAGAATGTGAATAAAGATTTCTTGCCAAGCTTAGTGGCTCCCGCCTGTAATCCCAACATTGGGAGGCTAAGGAGGGAGGATCGCTTGAGCCCAGGAATTCAAGACCAGCCTAGGCAACATAATGAGACCCTGCCTCTTTTTAAAATAAAAAATACATTTGAAAAGATGATTTTTGCTGTAGCTGGCCAGAGGCCCCTGACGGAGCTGTATTGCTTCATGGGTGGGAAAGGGGCTGCTCCCCACCCCATGAGGTGGGCCCTCACCTCCATCTTCAAAGGGTGTTAGGGGCCCTGGGATCCGAAGCAAAAGAAGGCAGTGGGCCAAAAACAGGTGTGGCTTGGGAAGGGAGACATCCCAATCCAGCAGGTGCCTGAAGCCCAGCTCCCTGAAAAAGTGCAGCAGAGCAGCTGGGCTGAGGAGGGAGCATTTATTGAGCACCGACTGTGTGCCCCGGGGTCCCACAGGCCTCTGGAGAGAGAGTGCCTGCCCCAGCACTGACCCTCTTGTGCAGGATCCTTCCCCCACCCTGGGCTTGGGAGGAGAAGCCACATCAAGTAGGAAACAGCATGTCTCAGAGACCTGCTGAGGATCAGAAAGCCCCATGGAGCCTCTCGCTGGATGGATAGGTGTTTTGTTTCACCCTTCCCAAAAACAGAAGGCTGGCTAACTAGTAGCTGGAGGGTAGATCAGTGCACTTTTTCCAGAAAGACCACCTATCTCTGCACAGAGAACGGAGTGTTTGCTCCAAGCAGCAGAGAGAGCATGTGCTGCCTCAACATCAGCCCAGCTTGGTTAGAAAGGCCTTACCTCTCCTGGATTCCCCCTGGCCTGATAAACACTGCCCAGGGAGGTGGGGGCCAGGTCTCCAGACCTGCTTGGCGCTGCTCAGCTGCAGGGGAAATGCTGGATTGCCTCTAAATATTGAGGCTGCAGATCCGCTCGGACCCCAGGCTAGGAACTCTCCCCAGCAGAGGGCAGCAGGGAGAGGGGATGCGGGTTCCAGCTGAAAGCTGGTTTGTATATTCATTCAAGGGCCGTTTGAAAAACACCAGTTAACTGGTCCCTGTCTCTTGGTGACCAGACATTTCCATCTCACTGTTTACTTTAAAAGAACCAAAGTTATGTGTAGCCCAGAGAAGGGAGACACCCCAGTCTGGCAAGTGCCTGAAACCCAGCTCCAGGAAAAAGTGCAGCAGCACTCCAAGTCTGCAGGGAACCCGCCCGCCCACGTGCACTGACTAATTTCATCGCGGACCCCAGAGGGTTGGCGGGGTGGTGGTCTATGCTGTTAGGCGATTGACAGATGAGTCCGGAAGAGGTTCCACGCTGCCTCTGGTCAGAGGCCCCGCGAGGTGCGATCTCCTCTCACCGCCACCTCAGCCTGCCGAGTTAAAGCAATTCTCCTGCCTCAGCCTTCCAAGTATCTGGGATTACCGTTGCCCGCCACCACGCCCGGCTAATTTTGTATTTTTATTAGAGATGGGGCTTCTCCATGTTGGTGAGGCTGGTCTCGAACTCCCCACCTCAGGTGATCTGCCCACCTCGGGCTTCCCAAAGTGCTGGGACTACAGGTATGAACCACCACGCCTGGCCCCCGGCGGAGTTTTCGAGCCTCTGGTCTCCAGGACCTGGACTGAGGGCCCAGGGGAGTGGGATGGACTGGACCGGCCAGGCCTTGGAACCAAGGGAGCCGGACCCAGCTCCCAGCCAGGGTGGCGCGGAGCCTGGAGGGAAGGAGGGGCGCAACGCGAGAACGCGAAGCCTTGGAGCGGCCCAGGCCAGGCGGGCGGAGGTGGCCTAGGTCCGGGAGGCGGCCGCTAGTAGGAGGTGTAGGAGGAGGGCCCGCCGCGCCCGTCCGCGTCCCTGGGCGGGATTCCCTTCCCGCCCCGCCCTACCGTGCGTTGGCCACGCCCGGGCGCCCTCAGCGCGCGAGGCCTGCGGTCCCTTTAAGACGCCCGGGGCGTACCCCGCTGCTGCAGCCGCCGCCGGGCCATGGCAGCGCAGCTACTGGAGGAGAAGCTGACCTGCGCCATCTGCCTGGGGCTCTACCGGGACCCAGTGACGCTGCCCTGCGGCCACAACTTCTGCGGGACCTGCATCCGGGACTGGTGGGGCCGCTGCGGGAAGGCGTGCCCCGAGTGTCGGGAGCCCTTCCCCGACGGCGCCGAGCTGCGCCGCAATGTGGCCCTCAGCGGCGTGATGGAGGTGGTGCGCGCCGGGCCCGCCCGGGACCCCGGCCCTGAGCCCTGCCCCGGCGCGCGCTGCCCCCGCCACGGGCGGCCGCTGGAGCTCTTCTGCCGCACCGAGGGCCGCTGCGTGTGCAGCGTGTGCACCGTGCGCGAGTGTCGCCTCCACGAGCGGGCGCTGCTGGACGCCGAGCGCCTAGAACGGGAGGTGACTCCACCGACAGGGGCGGAAGGGGACCGGGTCCGCCGCAGCCTGGCTACCGCCCGGTGACTCCCACAGCCAGCGCCCTGCTCTCTCCGGGCGCTCGGTGGGGGCAGGGAGCCTCAACTGGAGGCGGCTTCGCCCAACCTGGGAGTTGATTATAAAAATCGCGGATGCCTGTAATCCCAGCACTTTGGGAGGCTGAGACGGGTGGATCACGAGGTCGAGAGATCGAGACCATCCTGGTCAACATGGTGAAACCCCGTCTCTACTAAAAAATTTTTCAAAAAATTAGCTGGGCAAGGTAGTGCGTGCCTATAATCCCAGCTACTCGGGAAGCTGAGGCAGGAGAATTGCCTGAACCTAGGAGGCGGAGGTTGCGGTGAGCCGAGATCGCGCCATTGCACTCCAGCCTGGGTAACAAGAGCGAAACTCCGTCTGGGGGGCGGGGTGGGGAATCGCGGGTATGTGCATCCGACTGGGATGTGCAGCCCAGCCAGGGCCACAGGGTACGGTGGGTCTCAGGAGCTGCTCGGTGCCTTCTGGATGAACACAGAAGCCTGGGCGTGAGGCAGCAGCTCCCTGCCCCTTGCCCAGGCGCTAGAAAACCCGTCGTTTGTCACCGGCGATCTGCGAGCCTCCTTTCATTCGCTGTGTGGGAGAGCTTGGGGCTGTTGGTAAATGGATCAGAGGAGCTCCCTGTCCTTAAGAGGCTTAGAATACACTTAAGAAGTCAGTGTTCCAGTCAGGTGTGAATGTATTGTTACAAAACGCAGTGAGGAAAGCACATGGTATGTGATAGCTATGTCAGGGTGACCCTGCTAAGCGGGCAGGGGAGGCCGCCTTCAGGCTGGCACGTGAGGGCTGAGGAAGAGCATTCTAGGCAGAGGAGGCAGCCTGGTCCCGGTTCCGGGATGGGAAAGAACTAGGCACTTGGGGTCCCTGGGGGCAGATTTGTGCCACTGAGATCTGTGGGTGAGGCCCTGGGGGTCAGCAGGGTCGGATCGGGCAGGGTCCTGGGGTAGTCTGGCTCTTACTCTAGGGGGATGGGGACCATCACGCGGAATTATTTGGGGTTAGAGGAGGGCTTGGAGGCAGGGTGGCACATGATCAGATTTGGGATTCATGGAGACTGATCACCTGGCTGGGAGGTGAAGTGGGCATAAGACCTGAATTGAGGAGCAGCCCAGGGCAGGAGTTCAGGGAGGCAAGGCACCGGTTGAGGGGGGGGCAGGGAGAGGAGACCAGGATGGAGGAGGAGATGAAAACGCTGAGGGGTAGCCGTACCTTGTGGAGGCAAAAGCAGGCCAGAGGGGACATGGGGGACAGCAGAGAGGGTGGTAAGGGAGACACCTGGGTTTCTGTGTTGATCAAGCATGTAGCTGGGGTGCTATGTGCTGAGAGGCCTAGTTTGGCTTTAGATGTATAGAGGTCAGAGTCGCCAGTAGGACAAACCAGTGGACGGGTCTGCAGCAACTGTCCAAAGCTCAGAAGTGGGGAGCTGGAGGTCTAGAGCTGGGAGTTACTAGCACAGGAGAGAGAGAAGTTTCCCTGAAGGAGGAGGAGAAGGCCCTGCCTGCAGTGAAACCAAGCTGGAGCTCCCAGGATGATGGGGAAGGCTGGGGGAACGGCACAAGGGTGCCAGGAAGAGAACGGTCAGGGTGCCCATGCTGATCGGAGGCTCGGTACAAGGACAGAAATAACAGGACACACAATCATTTGGGGACAGAGGAGGGTTGGGACTAAGGCATGGGCGGAGGATGGCGCAGGGACACAGGATGGGACAGGAAGGAAAGGGGTGGCCTGATGGACAGGGAGGGATGGTGGGGTACACAGCTGGGGGTTGGCGAGGTGGGAGGCCTGGGACTGAGGCGGCTGGAACAGGAGAGGGCAGGAAGGCGGTCAGAGAAGGAAGAGTGGATGCCTAGAATGGAGATTGTGGAGCTGGTTACAAGGGCCAGTGTGTATTCACAGGAGCGGCTGAGATGAGATGAAGGAAGGGGCTCCAGAGTGTTGGGGGACATTGCTTGTAGCTGCTGAGGCTACCAAGGAGGATGAGCTGAGCTGTACTGCTCACAGGCAGGTGCAGAAGCCTGAGCTAAGCATGGAAATTTGCAACGGAGGCCAGTACATGATGGCCATGCAGAGGAAGGGAGTGACAGGGGCAGCCAGTGGCACCCGGGGAACCAGGATTTTGTAAGAGAGAGGGAAAGGGGCATGGGGGTGCTGGCCCTGGAGGAGGGTTGGGTGCCCTGGGAGAGCCCACCCGCCCACCACCTGTGTTCCTGTGTTAAATGCTTGAGGCAGGGGACCTGGAGGAGTGCTGGGCTTGGGAAGATCTGAGGACTTTGACCAAATTATCATCTTCTCTGAGCCCATTTCCTCTCTGATGTTTTAGTGGGGAGCGGAAGCAAGGTGGTGAAGCTCTTGACCAGGCACTGGGAACGGGGCCCCTGGTATCTTTGTGGTTCACCCTGCTCCAATGAGAACATGGTGTTTTGATTCCCAAGGGAATCAGGGAGCGCAGCCACATAGGGGTCCCTTTTTCCCCCCTCAGGCCCAAAGCTAGGGTCGGGCTGGTTGGGTCCCCTGAATAATCTACTTTGTGCATGCAAATAACTGGCCACTTGTCAGAACAGCTTTGGTGCTTTGGGTGGTCCCTGAAGTCAGCTCCTCAAACCCCAGGGCCTCCTGGGCCACAGACCCCTCTGCAGTGAGACAGAGACCAATGGCTTTAGTGTTTGGGGTCATCCCTGCAAGGCTCTCTGAGCCAGCATTGTCGCTTTCATATATTGATGGGGGGAGGGTTAGGCCCAGAGAGGGCAGGTGCTTTGCCCCAGCTTGCTCAACATGCAAGAGGTAGAAATGGGAATGAAGTTGGGTCCTGAGCCCAAGGCTTCCGCTCTGCTCAGATTCCATCTGCTGCAGGCGAGGAAGGACTTTGTCCAGACCCCTCGGCACACAGGTCCAACTCTCCCGGGGTTAGAGTGAGGCTGGTGCTCTGGAGGCTGGCCCGGGGTGGCATTCAGAGGGGCTGCCTGGCATCTGCAGGCATGGTTGGTTGTCTGAGGAAGGATGTCACAGCCAATCCTGGCCCTCTCTCGTTGCTTGTCCCATGGGCGGGCACCACAGGCCCAGCTGAGAGCCAGCCTGGAGGTTACCCGACAACAGGCCACCCAAGCCGAATGCCAGCTACTGGAGCTACAGAAGCAAAGCAGCCAGATCCAAGTACGAGGCCTGTGCCTGCCTGCCCACCACAGACTCACAATGTATCCTGGGGGTGGCCACTAGCTCGTCCCTGGAACACTAGGCAGCAGGGAGTGGCACTGAGCAGGGAGCTAGGCACAGGGGGGCCTTGGAGGGTTCCCAGGACCTTGGCGGTCCACATCCCTGCCCCTCAGTTCAGCAAGCAGCCCTGGCCCTAGCCTGCCTTAGCATGGCGCAGGACCCTGGCCACCCTGAAGCCCCTTCTGTTCCATGCAGAGCTCCGCCTGCACCTTGGCTTCCTCAGTCTCCGGCAAGTTCAGCAGCCTGCTGCAGGCCCTGGAGATGCAGCACACAGTGGCGCTGAGGAGCATTGAGGCAGCCAAGACACAGGCGCTGACACAGGCTCAAGACGAGGAGCAGCGACTACGGGGCCACTTGGAGGCTCTGGCTCGCCATGGCTGCAGGATCCAGGAGCTCTTGGAGCAGGGGGATGCACAGGCCTTCCTACAGGTGCCGGGGTCAGGGCACAGGTGGGGGGACTTGCTTCCCGGGCCCTCGAGCCCAAGCTTACTTGCTTTCCCTGGGGCTCAGGAATCACAGCTCCTCCAGCCCCCAGGGCCTCTTGCGCCACTGACCCCTCTGCAGTGGGATGAAGACCAACAGCTGGGTGACCTGAAGGAGTTGCTAAGCCGGCTGTGTGGCCTCCTCCTGGAAAACGGGGGCCACCCCGGGGCACCAGCCAAGCCTGTGGACTTAGGCCCCATGGGTAAGGCTAACCCCAGACCCCCCCCACTGGGCCCAACTGCCCCTCCCACTGGGGGATGGAGGGGGGTCATGGCCCACACATCGTGATCTCTCCAACCACTCCCCTGACACTGCTTTGCCCCCTAGAGGCTCCAGGTCCCCTGGCACCGGTCCCAAGCAGAATTTGTCCACTGAGGAGGAAACTCTGGCAGAGTAAGGAGGCTGTTCGTGTGTGTGCAGCTGTGTGTATGCAAGGAAGTGCATGTGTTCGCCTGTGTGTGGTGTGCAAGGAAGTTCACTTGTGTCCCTGTGTGTGGTGTGCAAGGAAGTGCACGTGTGCACCCGTGTGGTGTGCAAGGAAGTGCACGTGTGCACCCATGTGGTGTGCGAGGAAGTGCACATGTGCCCCTGTGTGGTGTGTAAGGAAGTGCACTTGTGCATCTGTGATGTGCAAGGAAGTGCAGGTATGCCCCTGTGTGTGGTGTGCAAGGAAGTGCACATGTGTGCCTGTGCGTGCTGAGCACTGTGTGCACGCCTGTATGTATGCATGTGTGATTGGGGGGGCACATGCTGTGACTGTTCTGTCCTGGATTTCTGGGCCTGGCCCCACCCCCTGCACACCTTGTGCACGTCCACCCTGAAGCAGGTGCAGCCAGCATGTGTTGAAGGACAGAGCCTGGGACACAGACTTGTAATTCTTCCGCTTAATACCGAGTTAATGGCTCTCGGAGCCCCAGTTTTCTCAGCTGTGAATGGGGCTGATAGAGGATTCCACCTGCAAGGTGGCAGTGAGGATTCAGTGCTGTGGTGACGGCCAGTGCTCGGTGTACCCAGCAGATGTTTAGCAGCGGGTAAATGGAGATGTGGCTGTGCTGTCTTTCCTCTGGACAGGACCCTTAGCCCACATCTGTCCTTTCCCCAACAGATTATCGCAATCTAACCTTTGATCCCATCAGTGCCAACCGTCACTTCTATCTATCGCGCCAGGACCAGCAGGTGAAACACTGTCGTCAGTCCCGGGGCCCAGCTGGGCCAGGCAGCTTCGAACTCTGGCAGGTGCAGTGCATCCAGAGCTTCCAGGCCGGGCGCCACTACTGGGAGGTGCATGCGTCAGACCACTCAGTGACACTGGGCGTCTCCTACCCACAACTGCCACGGTGCAGGCTGGGGCCCCACACAGACAACATCGGCCGGGGCCCCTGCTCCTGGGGGCTCTGCATCCAGGAGGATGGCCTCCAGGCCTGGCACAACGGGGAGGCCCAGCGCCTCCCAGGGGTGTCAGGGCGGCTCCTGGGCATGTATTTGGACGTGGTCTCAGGCTGCCTCACCTTCTACAGCCTGGAGCCCCGGACCCAGCCCCTGCACACTTTCCATGCCCTCTTCACCCAGCCCCTCATCCCTGTCTTCTGGCTCCTCGAGGGTAGGACCCTGACCCTGTGCCATCAGCCAGGGGCTGAGTTCCCTCCTGGGCCCCAGGAAGAGGTCTCTGTGCTCAGCTGAAGAAGACATGGGATGGAGCCCTGGCACAGCTGCCACCCTGCCTGTGTGCCTAAGAGCTGCCCAGCTCCAGCTTGGGGACTCGAGGACCAGCTGTTGGCCTCTCTGTGACTCAGAGAGAGATTGCGGGGTGTGGGGTGAGCATAAACCCAGAGCTCACACTTCAGCCTCTTAGAAGGGGACACGGTCTAGGAAGGGGATAAATGGGAAGCCCTTGCCCCAAATAGAACCCAGTTCTAGGCATCGCCTGGTCCTAGGAGGCTAGAGCACTGCCCAGGGGACTTCTGGGCTTACGGGACAGCATATGTGACAAAATTCAGATCCACCTGAATTTGCCTCTGGAGATGATTACAGGCCAAAGGAGCAGTCAGTGTGGGGCAGTGAGCCAGGGGAAGATGGATCCTCCCTCCTTCCCGCCTGAGGCTCTAATTTTTTGTAACATTTGGGTAGATGTCCGTCCTGTCTTGGAGTCTTTTTATTTTGTGCATCCTTAAAATAGTATGCTGTGAACAACTGTTTTCTGCATTTGAACATTTTAATTTTTTTAGGAGACAGTCCTGCTCTGTCACCCAGGTTGGAGTGCAGTGGTGCAGTCATGGCTCACTGCAGCCTCGAGCTCCTGGGCTCTAGGGATCCTCATACCTCAGCCTCTGGAGTAGCTGAGATTATAGTGTTTTCTGCAGTTTTTTGACTTAACATAAACATTTTTCACATGATTGAAACTTTTCACTGATGGATTGCTGTAGTCATTCTAATGGCTATCAAATTTATTTACCCACTATTGGACATTTAAATTGCTTTCTTTTTAGCTATACAAATATCAGTATTGCCGGGCGAGGTGGCTCACGCCTGTAATCCCAGTACTTTGGGAGGCTGAGGCGGGTGGATCACAAGGTCAGGAGTTCAAGACTAGCGTAGCCAACATGGTGAAACCCCGTCTCTCCTAAAAATACAAAAATTAGTAGGCGTGGTGGTGGGTACCTGTAGTCCCAGCTACTTGGGAAGCTGAGGCAGCAGAATCACTTGAACCCGGGAGGTGGAGTAGCTGAGATTACAGTCTCAGCTGTAATTTAGTGAGCCGAGATCGCACCACTGTACTCCAGTTTGGGTGACAGAGCAAGACTGTCTCCAAAAAAAAAAGAAAAAAAAAACTAACAATGTGATTTTTTTTTTTTTTTTTTTTGAGACAGAGTCTCCCTCTGCCATCCAGGCTGGTGTGAAGTGGTGCCATCATGGGCTCATGGGATTCTCCTGCCTCAGCCTCCTTAGTAGCTGGGATTACAGGTATGCGCCACCATGCCCAGCTTTTGGTGAATATTTCTGAGCAGGATGGCTGGCCACATTAATGGTCATGTATGTAGGCTAAGTTACCTCAAGTGAGTCACTCAGGAAACAATGAGCACTTGAAGATTGTTTTATATAAAAGGCCACAGTGAGGCCACCTTGAATCAGGCTGACTAAGGCCCCTCAACCCTGTCACCGAGCAGCACATGACACTGGTAGGACCTCAGTCCAGCATCCCACCCCTGGGCATGGGGCTTCAGGGCAGCCGTGTGTGCAGGTGCCAGCTCAGGCCAGCTCCTCTAGGTGTGGTCTGGTCTTTGCCATTCCAGAGCATGCTGCCACGAAGACCCCGGCCATGTTTTTGCTTATATTTCCAGAAGTGGGGTTGCCAGGCCATATGGCAGGTATAATTTTTTTTACTTGACATGTTCCACTTGTTCTGGGAGGTGGTTCCAAGGGTGTCTGCTTTTGGCCGGGCATGGTGGTTCACTGGTCACGTAAGTGCTGGGCATGTAATCCCAGCACTTTGGGAGGCTGAGGCGGGTGAATCACCTGAGGTCAGGAGTTTAAGACCAGCCTGACCAACATGGCGAAACCCCATCTCTACTAAAAATAGCTGGGCATGGTGGCATGCATCTGCAGTCCCAGCTACTCAGGAGGCTGAGGCAGCAGAATCGCTTGAACCCAGGAGGCGGAGGTTGCAGTGAGCCCAGATTGCAACACTGCACCACTACCTGGGTGACAGAGCAAGACTCCATCTCAAAACAAAATGGGGTGTCTGCTTTTGTAACTTTTAAAACTGTGCATCTATGTTATATGTACTCATGGATAAATATTTCACAATAAAAGTTTTTAAAAGGATAATATATGCAATATACATACTCCTTAATATATAAAATGTTTTTATATTTGTAAAAAAAAAAAAAATCTCCCACATGACAATGCCACCCCGGCCACTGCCACCGTTGCATTCTCCGTCTTACGTCCCTGCTCCTAGCCTTTAGCTGTTTGTTCAAAAGCAGACCAGGTTCTTGGATTGGTGCAGCCCAGGTAAGGACCTTCCAGCAAGATCCTCAGCTGGGAGCTCCCAGACATGGGGAGGGATTCTGACACGCACAGCCCAACAGTCAGGAGGCAGGCAGGACCTGCTGCTGACCAGCTAGGGGCCATGGTGGAGCTGAAATGCCCGGCCAGGCAGGATGCAGAATTAGCCTGGCCAGGCAGCTGTTGTTGCTGTCCCCACCTCATACTTCCTTCTAATCCAAGGCTGCAGCAGAAGCCCCAACAGTCTGAGCCATTACTTTCTCTTTTTTTTAAAAAAACAAAAGATATGGGGCCAGGACAGGCGCGGTGGCTCACGCCTGTAATCCCAGCACTTTGGGAGGCCGAGGAGGGTGGATCACCTGAAGTCAGGAGTTCAAGACCAGCCTGGCCAACATGGTAAAACCCCATCTTTACTAAAAATACAAAAACTAGCCCAGTGTGGTGGTGGGCACTTGTAATCCCAGCTACTCGGAAGGCTGAGACAGAGATGGGGGCCTCACTCTGTCACCCAGGGTGGAGTGCAGGGTCAGGATCTCTGCTCACTGCAGCCTCCGCCTCCTGGGCTCAAGTGATCCTCCCTCCTCCTGCCTCGGCCTCCTGAGTAGCTGGAACTACAGTCGCACACCACCTTGCCAGCTACATTTTAAATTTTTTATAGAAAACAGGGTTCTCACTATGTTGCCTGGGGTGGTCCTGAACTCCTGGCTTTGAGCAATCCATGCCTAGTCAACCTGATTCTGACAGAACTCTCCATCTCCTCTCCAGAAAAATGCACAGTGGGATCGAGGGAAAAGGCAGCACAGACTTGGGATGCAACATCTGGAAAGGGGACATGTTTGATTAGCCTGTGGGTGTTCCACCATGTCTGACCTACCCACCAGACACCCTTGCAGATTCTGGGCTTCAGTTATGCACAGTCAGGTGGAATGTCAGAGAGAGAACAAGGGCAGGAGAGATTGTGAAAGACAGAGATCTCATGGGCCAGCAGGATTGGAGGGAGGTGGATTGGAGGCCCGAGAGGTGTATTTGTCTGTTTGCACGCTAATAAAGACATACACGAGACTGGGTGATGTATAAAGGAAAGAGTTGTTTTTGCTTGCTTGTTTGTTTTTGGTTGTTTTGAGATGGAGTCTCGCTCTGTCACCCAGGCTGGAGTGCAGTGGTGCCATGTCAGCTCACTGCAACCTCCGCCTCCTGGGTTCAAGCAATTCTCCTGCCTCAGCCTCCCGAGTAGCTGGGACTATAGGTGTGTGCAACCACGCCCAACTAATTTTTTTGTATTTTTAGTAGAGACAGTGTTTCACCATATTAGCCAGAATGGTCTCTATCTCCTGACCTCGGCCTTCCAAAGTGCCAGGATTACAGGCATGGGCCACTGTGCCTGGCCAGGAAAGAGATTTAATGGACTTACAATTTCACATGGCTGAGGAGGCCTCACAGTCATGATAGAAAGTGAAGGAGGAGCAAAGGCATGTCTTACATGGTGGCAGGCAAGGAAAGCATGTGCGGGGGAACTGCCCTTTACAAAACCATCAGATCGGCCAGGTGTGGTGGCTCATGCCTGTAATCCCAGCACTTCAGGAGGCCAGAGCAGGGTGGATCACCTGAGGTCAGGAGTTTGAGACCAGCCTGGCCAACATGGTGAAGCCCCCTCTCTACTAAAAATACAAAAATTAGCCGGGTGGGGTGACACACCCCTGTAGTCCCAGCTGCTCCAGAGGCTGAGGCTCAAGATTGGCTTAAACCTGGGAGGCAGGGATTGCAGTGAGCTGAGATGGAGCCATTGCACTCTACCCTGGGTGAAAAAGTGATACTCTGTCTCAAAAAAAAAGGCGGGCATAGTGGCTCACGCCTATAGTTTCAGCACTTTGGGAGGCCCAAGTGGGCAAATCACAAGGTCAGGAGTTCAAGACAAGCCCAACCAACATGGTGAAACCCTGTCTTTACAAAAAATACAGAAATTAGCCAGGCCTGGTGGCAGGCACCTGTAATCCCAGTTACTTGGGGGGCTGAGGCAGGAGCATGGCTTAAACCTGGGAGATGGAGGTTCTGGTGAGCTGAGATCACACCATTGTTTTCCAGCCTGGGCAATGAGAGCGAAACTCCGTCTCAAAAAAAAAAAAAAAAGTGCTGTAGGCATATGGTTTGGATCCCCTTTCAATATCTTTCAGAGACACAAGTATGCCTAGAAATAGCTTTTTAATTACTCTCATCACTGGATTGCTTTTTGCTTTTTTTTTTTTTTTTTTTCAGAGACAGGTTCTCAATATGTTGGTCAGGCTGATGTCAAACTCCTGAGCGAAAGTCCTCCTCCCTCAGTTCCCAAAGTCCTGGGATTACAGGCGCGAGCCACCACGCCCAGCCACTTGTTTTTGTTTGCTATTTTTCCTTTTTTTTTCAAGCAGTACTATAGCCAGACAGAGTCAGATGTGAGATTTATAATTATTCAAGCTGCAACCCCTTGAGCTTAAATTCTGCTTCCTCCACAGGACTAGTGATGTGACCTCTGGCAAGACATGGAACCTGTTGGGATTCCAGTTGCCATCCTGTAGGACAGCGTCCTTGGACGGACAGAATGAGGGCAGGTGTGAACATGCTGAGCTCAGTGGTGCCAGTTACCCTTGCCCTTGGCTCTGAGACAATTCATTTTGAAGGGAAGTAATACATTGGGCAAACAACTTTATAAGTTTGGAGATGGAGGCCAGGGGGCGCAGTGGCTCACACCTGTAATCCCAGCACTTTGGGAGGCTGGGGCAGGCGGATCACGAGGTCAAGAGATCAAGACCATCCTGGCCAACATGGTGAAACCCCGCCTCTACTAAAAATACAAAAATTAGTGAGGCATGGTGGCACATGTACCTGTAGTCCCAGCTAGTTGGGAGACTGAGGCAGGAGAATCGCTTGAAACTGGGAGGTGGAGGTTGCAGTGAGCCAAGATCATGCCATTGCACTCCAGGCTGGGCGACATAGCAAGACTTCGTCTCAAAAAAAAAATTTTTTTTTTGAAATGGAAATGAAATAGCAAAATATCAGGCTGGGCACCGTGGCACACACCTGTAATCCCAACACTTTGGGAGGCTGAGGCAGGCGGATCACCTGAGGTCAGAGGTTTGAGACCAGCTTGGCCAACACGGTGAAATCCCATCTCTACTAAAAATACAAAATTTAGCCAGGCGTGATGGTGCATGCCTATAATTCCAGCTACTTGGGAGGCTGAAGTAGGAGAATCACTTGAGGTGGAGGTTGCAGTGAGCCAAGATCACGCCACTGCACTCCAGCCTGGGTAACAGAGTGAGACTCAGTCTCAAAAAAAAAAAAAAAGTAAAGAAATAGCAAGATGCCACTACGCTGACAGACAAACCACATCTCTGTGCCTTCCTCCTGGGGAACAGATCTTTTCAAGTAGGGAGGACAGCAGGCTGTGGGTGGGGAGCAGAGGGTTGGGTGGGACCCGACCAGAAAGGCACCCCCTTCCTCCAGAACCAGGCAGGTTTGTGGCCTCAACAAATCCAGGCAGCCTGGCTGCCAAGCCTCAGAGCAGGGTGGCACAGATGCCTGGGCCTCCCAACCCCTCCTGGGGCTTGGCAAACAAGGGACGGTCCTGATCAAGTGCTCTTGGTGGAAACCGACGTATGGAACTCATTACCAGCCTTCCTGCCAAATCAGGCACACCCAGGCGGGCTCCCTGCTACTCCCTCTGCCTGGAAGGTCTGTTCCCACCCCAGTCTCTGCCCGCCTGAGTCCTAGCAGTCTGTGAAAGCCCAGCTCAAACGCCACTTCCACAGTTCCCCCAGCCTTTCCCATGGATCCCCCAGGAACAGATAGCACCCCTCTTTTGGCACTTGGGGTTGCAACAATCTGAATGTGTGCGTGTACCCTCAGAGTTGATGTGTTGAAATCCTCACCCCTAAGGTGGTGGTCCTAGGAGGTGTGGTCTTCAGGAGGATGGAGCTTCATTAAAGGGATTAGTGCCCTTGTCCAAGCGGCCCCAGAGGCTCTCTAGCTGTCCCTTGACCATGTGAGGACACAGTGGGAAGGCAGCCATCTGTAACCCAGGAAGTGGCCCTCACCAGAACGCTGACTGTGCTGCCACCATGATCGCAGACTTCCAGCCTCCAGAACTGTGAAGAATAAATGTATAAGCCACCCAGTCTCTGGTGTTCTGCGATAGTAGCCCAGACACACGAAGACAGGGGTTACTGAGTGCCTGGAGAGCCAGCTCCCTCCCCAAGAGACTGGGTCCCTCCTTTCTTTTCTTTTTTCTTCTTTCATTTTGACACCTTATGTTGAGCAATCTTTTTTTTTTTTTTTGAGGGAGAGTCTTGCTCTGTTGCCCAGGCTGGAGTGCAGTGGCGCCATCTTGGCTCACTATAGTCTTGACCTCTCCAGGGTCAAGTCAAACTGCTGATCCTCCCGCCTCAGCCTCCCACAGGCTACTGCGCTCAGCTAATTTTTTTTTTTTTTTTTAGAAACAGAGTCTCCCTATGCTGCCCAGGCTGGTCTCAAACTCCTGGACTCAAGTGATCCTCCCATCTTAGCCTCCCCAAGTGCTGGGATTACAGGCATGAGCCCCTGCACCCAGCCAGACTTATCACTGTTGATGTTGACCTTGTTCACCTGGCTGAGCTACTGTGTCAGGTTTCTCAGCTGCAAAGCTTTGGCTCCCTTTGGAAGAGTTACTCAGCACAGCCCACAGGAGTGGGAAGTTAAGCTCCTCCTCAGAGTAGCTACAAAAATAATTTGGGGCTTGGCACAGTGGCTCACGCCTGAAATCCCAGCACTTTGGGAGGCCAAGGCAGGCGGATCACCTGAGGTCAGCA